GGCTGCCTCGACGCGACACACTTCTTCCAGGATAGCACGGAGGGTACATTCTACACGGTCGCCGTCGGCGAAGACGCAGACCACAGCATTGTGGTCGAGGGCGGCGCAGTCGGGACGCTCGTGCTTGCGCCGAGCACGGCGGTCGACGAAGAGGTCGTCAAGATCCGCGCGAGCGTCCGCACGAACGAGGCGAGCCTGCTCGACAACATCGTGGTGCACACGCCAGATTCAGGCACGCAGGCACCGATAGGCACGGCGGGCACAAGCTACTTCGCGCTCTCGTCGCCGGCCGACGCGAAGTCCGCGGGCGCGTGCCTGAGGTACGACCTGACGGTATACGTCCCGCCGAACCTGCGCACGCTTCGCATCACGGCGCGCGCGGTCGCGCAGGTCAAGTACGACTTCGGCGGGTCGCCGCGCGAGCTGCACACGCTGCACATAGCGCTGGCGGCGCCGTCGCCGCTGAACCTCCTGCTGCCCACCGGGGGGCTGGCGGCGGACAACACCGAGATCGTGGTGCACGGCGGGTACGTCGTCGGAACGCTGCCGGTCGCGAACAGCACGGCGGTGGACACGCGCGCGCCGGGCGACGCGGTGGCGCGGCTGGCGCTGGCGACGACGGCGTACCGCATCCCGGACGCGGGCGCGGTCGCGCACGTGCGGACCGTGACGGGCGCGGGGCGCGCGGACTTCACGGTCGAGAATGCGGCCGGCCGGCGGGTCTGGGGCGAGCACGTGTCGCGCGGGCTGGCCGGCTCTGAGCTGCGCCTGACGTACAAGGACGCGCGGTTCAATGGGAAGGTGGAGCTGGATGCGCGGTCGTATTCTATGCGAAACGTGCAGTCCGACGTGAAGGCTGGAGAACGGAATGGGGAGCGCTGGGTCGGGGACAAAGAGGGAGGTGATTTCCTCAGGGTGACTTCCACGGGTTGGGTCGGACTTTACTTTTAGGTGTATGTCTGTAAGGACTTTTTCGTATTCGCCGGGTTCTACGGCTTCAAGAGTTGAAAATTTGAGAAGAATATACTAATAGTACATGTACATAAGTACAGAGAAGAAGAAAAAGAAAAAAAAGAAAAAAAAAACTCGTACATGCAAATGCTGCATTCGCTCATGTCTGTGTGCTCGTGCGCATTGATTCAGGCCATACATGCAGTTCGATCGAAACGTCTTCGTCTATCGCTTCGCAGGCTTACTGCACCGGCTTACAAACCGCAGAAATAATATAATTCCTTCACAGTGCATCTCTACGATACAGTTATAAGCGCTTCTAACAGTGATCTAGTCTCCACGACTATTAGCGCCAGAGATTATACTTCATTATTGTCTTCCCGTGGTAGCCGCAACGATCCGACAAACTCTACCAGCCATTTGCACCTTAGATCAAGGTAGCGCAAGTTCGGTATGACTGGGTACCGGGCGAGGTCGTTGCGCTTAGTAGTGTCGATGATAGAACCGGGAAAGGGCTGAGGCTGGTTGTGAATATTTAAGGGAATATTAGGATTTCTGCAGACTTTTCGAGCATAAAACAGGTCAGTATCTGCCTTTTTTCTTCTTTCTCGGATGCCGTAGAGGAAAGAAGCCAGGACATACCTCTGAGGTACAACAATTTATCTTTAAAGCCTTTGTCGTAGAGCAACCCGTAGTAGAGCTTATACTCTTTGTGCTTCTTGATGATTTCGCCTGAGGAGACAGAGTAATTAGTCAATACAGACATCGCGGCATCGATGTTAACTCCTTATCATTCGTAGATCATTTTGATGTACTCCCTACCAGGGTCCAGGGCTCCAGGGTTCTCGTATGTCGACAGGACCCATTTATCCTCCGATTCCTCGACAAGTTTTAACAATCTAGCCTTGTACTCCTTTCTCTCTGAGCGTTTCCGAAAGGCTTCCTTAATTGATTACATTATTCAGAAACTGGTTGGGAGAAGGATGCTTGATACGATAGTGCCTATCAGCTTGCATGCTATGAAGGCCATTTGTACTGTCCAAGCAATACCAGTGGAGACTCGGCGCGTCGCTGAGATTCACTACTTCGCGTTGTCATAGAGAACTACAAAGTGAAGAGCATAGCACACCTCTTCGGAGTAGCTTTGATTTAACTTTGCGTAGGAAATGTGGCACCCATTGCCTGTATAGGATTTATAACCGAGATAGGTCAAGAATAGACAACATAACAAATGGGGCGAAATGCTGCACATCGCTATTGGCGAGTTCATGATTCGTTGCGAAGGAATGCTTGGTCATGTGGCGAGTATTAAGATTGCGTGTCACAGCAGTTTAGGGGACCACGCATTTTTGAGCATTTTGGAATATCAGAAGACCTTTCAAACTCGACAAACCAGCCGCGTTCACCAAACCACGGTGGCAATCCTACCAGACTGCGCCAGAGCAGGTAAGGGTCATGCGCTAGTTCTAGAAGATATGAGAGCTTGCTGCTCGGTTCCGCACATTTCCTATTGAGACAGCTTGATTTTCCCCCAGACATTAAGACCGTTGAGCCAGTGGTCCAGGCCCTCGATTGACATTGATGCAGACGCGACAGCGATTATCTCAATGTAGCAATTAAACAAGTATGCAGACATGAAGACATAATTTGCTTTGTAGCGCGTTTCCAGAGCGCCGGAAAAATAAACTTCTAATTATCTTCAGCGCCGAGTTCTTCATTAACGACGTACATATTACGTACAGGCTCTGGGGAAACCGTCCTTCGCGCGGGTATGCCTTGAACTCAAGGTCATTCGTCGTCACTAGCAAACTCCATGTCTTGCACCTTCCGCCCCTTTTTAATCACACCACCTTTGCGTTTCGGTTTGGCAAGAGGGGGTTCGGCAGGAGGGTTACGCGATTCTTTAGGAATCCTGCGCGGCGTATTGGCTTCCTTCGGTTTGTAACTCGATGGAGGAGGCGGGGAAGGAGACGCCCTGCGAGGCTCTTTCAGAGCTATTTAAAATCAGACAGACAGCTGAAGGGAGCAGGAAAGACGTACTTTTAGTCGGCGGGGGTGAGTTACGACGAGGAGCGGCAGGAGCGGCGGGAATAGAGGAATAAACCGGAATTTCAGGAGGGTTCAGACGGCATTTCCTCTGCTGCGCGTTTAGTCCAAGCTTCTCGATTCAAGATACGATGTGTTCATCAGAAATTAATTTTCAAACGGTTCTGAGAGGCTGGGCTCACCGAGAACAGCTCGTTCGCGACGAAGATCGCGGCCTCCTCAGCGGACAATTCGGTCAACGGGATCGGAAGCGGCTTCTTGCCTGACGGGTCGAATATAATCTAGCGTGAAAGGGATACAGTAAATTATAAGCGGAAGGAAAGGATAAACGAAGGCACGAAGTCAGACGGGATGAGATGAAGAGCGGCGACGAGCTTACGACAAACTTTAATGTCGGCGCCCTTCTCGGCGCTCCAGTCTCCTATGAACAGATCGCCTTGGGCGACAGTGCCCGCGAGGTTATCCGCGAACGTCTCGAGTAGCGTTTCCGACACGTCCGCGCCCTGGAATCATTTCACATCCAAGGTCACCTTAATAGCATCGCAGCTCCGAAGTCTCGAAAAAGGAGAGCACCGCGCACCACGAATCCCACCGCATGCTTTTCCTCCCATCGGCCCCTCCACCAGCGTCCCGCGTCAGCTAGTCCGAGATGCACGTCCCACCCCGGGAACGCCGCGTCGAAGTCGACCTTTGAGAGAAGCACGAAACGGTGCGTGCCTTGGTAGATGACTTGGATGAGGTCGTCAAGCGGACCGAAGGCGTCGAACATGCTCATGATGTTGTGCTTGAGCTGCCGGTACCAAGCCAGACAGGGTGGTAGAGAATGGTGTAAGGAGCGGGTGTTTGGCCGACAAAGACGCGACGCGTCGCGAAAATGCAAATGACGCGAATATTCATTTTCTCTGAATTTTTGTAACTGCTACTCAACAAGAATCTAGTTCTACTCTTAAACGAATTGCTTGGCTCGTCTGACATATGCAATCGTTGCAAGGTTGTGAAAGAACCGATCTTAGCCATACGTCATACCATCTCATCCTCTAGTGTCTTAGACTCAGCGTGTATTTCTTTCCAAAAGGATAAAAGAAAGTCGTCCGAGGACGGCCTCTCATTTATATAAAGCTCTCCAAACCATCTCATGAGATTTCGTGGTGTTCCGTCAAATCACGAATGAGTTGTTTAGGAGGGAAGTTCTGCAGCGGCTCGCTATACAGAGAGGATTATTCAAGACAGCGAAACTTGAATCAGTGAAGAAGAAAAAAACTCACGTCCGCATGTCCCAAACATCCTCGCTGCTTTTCGCCAGACGGCGCGTCGCCCACCACTCCGCTCTACGCCTGATCCACGCCTCGCGCTTCTCGTCCTGGTCGAGCGACTTCAGGCTCATGCAGAACTTGAAGTCCTCCATCTTTCGCCCACAGACTGCCTGCCCGCCGTGCCTATAAAGTGACTTTAACTGAAAGCCGAGAGCTGCGAGGGGGAAGAACACATGTCAAAGAGACTGTCATCGACATGATACGTCTTGACATGGACATGCTGACCATTGCAGGAAAGAAAATCATCGAGGAGGCTCATGCATCCTGGTATCTGCTCTGGTGTTGGGTGAATGACCTGCAGTCGACGCGTTTCTTGCTCTACGGCAGTTTTGAAGTCCACGGACATGACAGTTGATGCCACACTCGGCCAAATTTGGACGTTCTGGATATTACAATTCAGCTCACGCTGGTTCTCGAAACAGGCAAATTCGACTATTTTTATCCGAAGCTATAGCGGGAACCTCCACATCGTTCACGCAAAAACCTAGTTGTTTTAGGTGCACAATACGCACTAGCAACAAACCATAGATAGTAACGACACGACCAACTACGCAAGCAGGAACAGCCTTCCTCTCTCAAGAGACGATAGCTTTTCCAACCAACCTTTAATAACCATACGGCATTTTCTGACCCAAAAAGTTGCTACTTTGCCCGCGAAAACATACAAAAAGATGTTCAGAATATTTCTATTGGATGACAGGCGAATCGAACACCTGACCTCATGCATGCGAAGCAAGCGCTCTACCAACTGAGCTAGACACCCCTTTTGGATTGGTTCCTCTTTTTGCTCAGTCAGATATATGACTTGGTTTTTCGGAAACCGACAAGAGCAAGAGCGGAAAGCTGAGTCTGCTGTACGAGGCGTTCCCGACGACATTCGTCACGGAGCAGGCTGGCAGCGGCACGACGATCAGCACGGACTGCATCCTAGATATCATCCCAACTATCCACGAAGCAAAGATGATATGAACGATTTGGTCAAGTTCTACGGCTAAAAGGCATAAACCGGTGTTGAGGGATCAAAGTGTACTATACCCGCGTGTATACATAGGTTCTACGGAATGTGTAACAAGCAATAATCAATGCAATAGGGCCTAACCCCAATGAAATTGTGCTCGTCTGAAACGGAAGATGAATTTTACATGTTTCGGCATTGGCGTATGTGGAGGTCGGCCGGAAGCCGCCGGATCGGCAACATGATCGCCACGCTTAAGAACCCCGAGCCAATCGACAGCCTACCCAGCCATATTTCGTCCCATGCGCAGAACTGGGCCCACTCGGCCTGCAGCCGTCGTACACTTTCCCCGCATGCGTGCTGGCGGAAATTGCCATGTTTGCGCGAGGGAGACGTACGAGCTCGTATGCTTGCAGAACGGCCTGATTCGAAAAAGGTCGTGTTAAACTTGTAATCTGCTTTGATCGGAAGGTAAACTCACGTCGGCGTTTCTTCAGGTGCGCGATCAGCCGAGCACGAGCACGAGCGTGTCCTCGAGCGCTTGGCCCGTGCGCAGCAGCATGGCGTGTGCTGCATCCCCGAGGAGCGTCGCGCACCCGCGCACGTACGGCGGGTCCACCGCGTGGACGGACCAGGCGCTGGGCGCCCCGGGGCTCCCTATCCAGCTCAGCAGGCGCGTGACATCGGGCCCCCACCCGGCGTACTCCGCGTCAAATTCCTCGGGCGTATGTTAGGTTACCCAGGGTGTTCCTGGGGGTTAGGGCCACCCGCAGACAAAGGCGACGACGACGATCTGCAGCAAATATATGTGTAAATGATGGTATTTCAAGGGCACGGGGCCTGCGCACCATCGTCCCGTGCTTGATAGGAACCGTGATGATATGCTGTCAGGAGTCAGCTATAATTCCACAGGAGCAAGAGCTAAAGCGACACGACACCTTTCCGGGCCCACGGAAGCAATGCCGTCGACTGCGCAGGTTCGATTTGATGCCGGCGCTCAACTGGCCCGAATGTATGCCATGCGTACGTCTTGGTGTACTTGCACCGCATCCGCGCCGAGCACGAATGCGCCCATGGCGGGCTTATTGCCGCCCGCGCTGAGGACGACGTCCGCCTGCGCGTGCGACCCGTCTGCTAGCTCAATCTCCATTTGTGCCGGTTCAGAGGGCGACAGAGGGGCGTGCAGGCCGTTGCAGCACTTGTTGAAGTGCGTCTTGGCAGCACCGATGACGTGCATAAGCGCGTCGAGGTAGACCTCCCTGCAATCAGGTCTGCAAATGCACGGTCAGTCCCGTGTTGGCATTATTTATTATACATTAAGAGGGCAGATATGAACCTGTAAAACTGCATTATTCTAAGCAAAGGGATACTGAAGCGATCAGATTGTATTTGTGTCTCTGATTAATGACGTGATTTTGTAGGACATATATCGTATATGATCTCTTGGTCGTCGAGACCGGACAGGAAAAGGACTGAGTGACTGAGGAACTCCTCTGGTTTGACCGAGCTACGACGTCGTCTAATACCTCATTTGCAGTTTGGCTTTCACTGTCAGCCCCACCGGGTTCTTACATGCATTGAGAAATGGACTAAGCCGCTAACCTTCACGAAGATGTGCCACTCATGTTCTCATCAATATAGTACATGGAAAAAGACGGAAGTTTGAAGATGGGTGTCTAGCTCAGTTGGTAGAGCGCTTGCTTCGCATGCATGAGGTCAGGTGTTCGATTCGCCTGTCATCCACTCTACGAATTAGATACTTTTTTTGTATAGTTTTCGCGGGCAAAGTACAGTAGCATGCATGCATGGCAACTTTTTGGTTTAGAAAATGCCATATAGTTATTGAAGGCTGATCGGAAAAGCTATCGTCTCTTGAGAGAGGGACGCTGTTCCTGCTCGCGTCGTGTAACGCGCTTTGTCTTTGTTGCCATGGATCGTCGGACATTAGAGGGGCGGCGATATTTGCGTAGTTGGTTGTGTCGTTACTGTCTATTGTTTGTTGCTATTGCGTATTGTGCATCTAGAAGAAAGGCTTTGCACAGTCAAACTTATTCGAATCCGGTCTTTGCGTGAACAATGCGTACGGGAACCTGCTTAAGGAGAGGAGGGAATATTTTTCAGCCCCACTATTGCTTTGGATTAAAATAGGCTATACGAGTTGCTTTGAGAACAGCGTGATATCCAGAACGTCCAAATTCGGTCGAGTGTGGCACCGACTGTCATGTCCGTGGACTTCAGAACCGCTGTAGAGCAAGAAACGCGTCGACTGCAGGTCATTCACCCAACGCCAGAGCAGATACCAGGATGCATGAGCCTCCTCGATGATTTTCTTTCCTGCAATGGTCAGCATGTCCATGTCAAGACGAATCAACTCGATAACAGCCTCCTTGACATGTGTGCTCCCCTCACAGCTCTCGGCTTCCAGTTGAAGTCGCTTTATAGGTACGGCGGACAGGCCGTCTGTGGGCGAAAGATGGAGGACTTCAAGTTCTGCATGAGCCTGAAGTCGCTCGACCAGGACGAGAAGCGCGAGGCGTGGATCAGGCGTAGAGCGGAGTGGTGGGCGACGCGCCGTCTGGCGAAAAGCAGCGAGGATGTTTGGGACATGCGGACGTGAGTCTTTTTTTCATCACTGATTCAAATTCGCTATCTTGAATAACCTTCTCTACATAGCGAGCCGCTGCAGAACTTCCCTCCTAAACAACTTATTCGTGATCTGACGGAACACCACGAAATCTCATGAGATGGTTTGGAGAGCTTTATATAAATGAGAGGCCGTCCTCGGACGACTTTCTTTTATCCTTTTGGAAAGAAATACACGCTGAGTCTAAGGTCCCGGAAGACACTAGAGGATGAGATGGTATGACGTATGGCTAAGATCGGTTCTTTCACAACCTTGCAGCGATTGCATGTGTTAGACGAGCCAAGCGCAGTAGAACTAAAGTAGCAGTTGTAAGAATTCGGAGATTGTGAATCTTCGCGTCTTCGTCGTTGGCCAAACACCTTCACCTTACACCATTCTCTACTACCCTGTCTGGCTTGGTACTGGCAGCTCAAGCACAACATCATGAGCATGTTCGACGCATTCGGTCCGCTCGACGACCTCATCCAAGTCATCTACCAAGGCACGCACCGTTTCGTGCTTCTCTCAAAGGTCGACTTCGACGCGGCGGTCCCAGGGTGGGACGTGCACCTCGGACTAGCTGATGCGGGACGCTGGTGGAGGGGCCGATGGGAGGAAAAGGATGTGGTGGGATTTGTGGTGCGCGGTGTTCTCCTTCTTCCAGGCTTCAAAGCTGTGATGCTAATATGGTGGCCTTGGACGTGAAATGATTCCAGGGCGCGGACGTGTCGGAAACGCTGCTCGAGACGTTCGCGGACAACCTCGCAGGCACTGTCACCCAAGGCGACCTGTTCATAGGAGACTGGAGCGCCGAGAAGGGCGCCGACATTAAAGTTTGTCGTAAGCTCGTCGCCGCTCTTCATCTCAACCCGTCTGACTTCGTGTCTGCGTTATCATCTCGTTCCCTCTTTCTTTACCGCTCTCGATATTATTTATTGTTTTCCTCGCACGCTAGATTATATTCGGCCCGTCAGGCAAGAAGCCGCTTCCAATCCCGTTGACCGAATTGTCCGCTGAGGAGGCCGCGATTTTCGTCGCGAACGAGCTGTTCTCGGTGAGCCCAGCCTCTCAGAACCGTTTGAAAATGAATTTCTGATAAACACATCGTATCTTGAATCGAGAAGCTTGGACTAAACGCGCAGCAGAGGAAATGCCGTCTGAACCCTCCTGCAATTCCGGTTTATTCCTCTATTCCCGCCGCTCCTGCCGCTCCTCGTCGTAACTCACCCCCGCCGACTAAAAGTGCGTCTTTCCTGCTCCCTTCAGCTGTCTGTCTGATTTTAAATAGCGCGGAAAGAGCCTCGCAGGGCGTCTCCTTCCCCGCCTCCTCCATCGAGTTACAAACCGAAGGAAGCCAATACGCCGCGCAGGATTCCTAAAGAAACGCGTAACCCTCCTCCCGAACCCCGTCCTGCCAAACCGAAAAGCAAAGGTGGTGTGATCAAAAAGGGAAGGAAGGTGCAAGACATGGAATTCGCTAGTGACGACGAATGACCTTGAGTCCAAGGCATACCCGCGCGAAGGACGGTTTCCCCAGAGCCGGTACGTAATATGTACTTCGTTAATGGGGAAGAACTCGGCGCTGAAGATAATTTGAAGTTTATTTTCCCGGCGCTCTGGAAACGCGCTGCAAGGCAATGAATGTCTTCATGTCTGCATACTTGTTTAATTGCTACATTGAGATAATCGCTGTCGCATCTGCATCAATGTCAATCGAGGGCCTGGACCACTGGCTCAACGGTCTTAATGTCTGGGGGAAAATCAAGGTGTCTCAATAGGAAATGTGCGGAACCGAGCAGCAAGCTCTCATATCTTCAGTGGTTTGGTGGACGCGGCTGGCTTGTCGAGATTGAAAGGTCTTTTGATACTCCGAAATGCTCAAGAATGCGTGAAACACTAAACCGCTGTGACACCCAAAACTGATACTCGCCACATGACATTACTAAATAAATCATGAATTTGCCACCAGCGACGCGCAACTTTGCGTTTTATTTATGTCGTTCTCTATCATTTACCTATTCCGGTTTTAAAACCTACACAATAAATGGGCGCAACACTTCCTATGCAAAGTCAATTCAGAGCTACTACAAAGAAGTGCGTTATGCTCCTTACTTTGCAGTTCTCTAGTGAAATACGGAGCAATGAATCTCGGCGCCGAGGCTTCACGAGCGCTGGCACTAGCGTC